GGTTGGGTTGGTTTTTTTTTTTAGTTTTTTTGGTTTTTTTTTTTTTTTTTTTTTTTTTTTTTGGGGATTATTCTCTTTAAAAGCCCCATTTCCAGTTAGAATCTAAATGGATTTGATTTAAAATTTGTGGAAGAGAAACAGGCCTATAGCGTCATTGATTTTTTTTTTTTTACCATGCAGTGACTTAAAAAAGTGAAATTTGAATAAGAGAAATGTTTTAGAAGAAAACAAACAGTAAATCACAGATGGCACAAGTCTTGGCACCATTATTTCCCAAAATGTACAAAAATTAATAGTAGGCGACTGCAGTAATAGAGGGATTTATTTCACTCAAATATTAACCAGCAAATTTCTCCATATATGCAGCTCCTCACAGCAAAATTGTTTTAAAACTTGTTTTTAGGAGGGTCAACTAATGATGTTTTTTTTTTTTTTTTTTGTGATAAGATCTGTTTTTTTAGCAGATCATAATTTAATTAGTGCTGCATACATGTTATTTTCTCACTTACGCTGAGAGAATTAGCAAAGGGATTCATGATTCGTGAGCGATGTCATGTAAATAAGTTGGCAGGAACAGTCTCCCTCTGTGTGGTTCGTTAGAAGTGCTGCGGTGCACGTCCGACTGTTTGCGGCTCGTCTTCTTTGTAAATCTCGCAGCGAGCCAACTTTACTGAAGAATGCCCGGGAGGAAGAAATTAAATATGCAAATCGAATCAGACTTTATATGTATAATTAGCAGAAAAGAGTGAAACATAATCAGAACTTCTTCGCTCGCTAAGAAATTTGCTGCTGTTTTGTCTCTCTGACTGTATTTTCCGGCAACAGCTCACAGAATCAACTTTATGTCGTCGTCGTTTCTCGTCTGTTTGCCACTTTCTCTCTTATTAAACCTAATGGAAGCAAATCCTTAGCTTTCCTAGTTCTCCACATCAACTGTGATGGGACTATTTTTGTCTTATCTATATAAGAAAAAACATGTTAAATTATCTTTCCGCTTCTTAATCTCTCGTTCCCTCTTTCTGCTCAGGATCAGGCAGATCCCATGTCTGGTATGAGCCTCTTGGCAGGAAAGGCGCTCAGCTCGGCTCGCATGTCCGACATTCTCAGCCAGACGTCTCTGACTGGAAGCCAACAGCTTCACCAGCGAGAGGAGTCAGGTCGGTAGAGGAGCAAACACTTCCAGCATTGTGCAGATGTTCCTTTTTTTTTTCTTTTTTTTTTTTGACAAACTCAGTAAATTTGTTGTTTTTTTTTTTTTTTGTTTGTTTATTTTGTTGTTGTTTTTTCCCTCTCAGTTTGCGATGTAGAAGGGGAGCTCCATGCTGCAGCCTGCTACCCGTCGTCCTGCACCAGTGACATGCTCCTCAGCTACAAACCCCCAGATCTGCAGTACAGCATGGAGCAGGCTGGGGTCTAGCACAGGTATGTGTACAAAGTAATAGAAAAAAAAAAAATATTTATTGTGAGTCGTGCTGCTGTTGAACCTTTCAAAATGAAATTGGCACCAAAAGCTTCCAGCCTTTTGAACAGCAGTCCTATTTTACACCTTTGTCCCTGGCTGCTCTAGCCTTCGATATTTCTTATTTACCCTGATTCAAACCCTTTAAACGTTTCAGTTTTTGTCTCGTTAGTGTGGGCTTCTCACACTAATGTAGCAGACAATGGTGGAGTCAAAAGAAAACCAACAAGCTTTTCAAATCAATCTCAGTTGTTTTGATCCTTAAGTAAATTTTCTGAAAAGGAAAAAAAAAAAGAAAAACACCTTTTGCTACAGCTACAACTGACTGTGTGTGTAGTTCAGGGTAGAGTTAGCCTCAAGTCTTTCATAGCATTTTTTTTTTTTTTTTTTTTACAACTCTGACCAGCTTCCCTGTCACTGCAGAAGAAAGGCATCTCCACAGTATGATGATGTCACCTCTGTGTTTCACCATGGCGACAGGGACAAAAGTTGAACTTTTCTCTCATTTGACCAGAGAATCTTCTTCCATAGTTGGTTTTGCTTTTTAGATGATAGTGAACATAGCAAAATTTGATTTCTAGCAACTTTCAATTTTCCGTACAGGTTACATATTGAGATTATATCTGGCTACTAGCCATATTTACTCTGACTTCTAGAGGCATGGAATCTACGGGTATCGGAGTAAACGGGGCTGAAGATGAATACGTCAGCTTTTATCAGGGGTTACAAACTAAAAACTGTTTCCTTTTTTCTGCCTCATATTAAATATCCAAATAAAACACCACAGGAGTTTGATTGTAATGTAAAAAACAGAGTTTTTGAGCTGGAGTGAATAATCAGTGCAGCTCTTTATTATTCCTGTCAAAGCTCCAAGATTTCAGCTGCACATGTTTCCTCCAGTTTAAGGTGGGATTTTGAATGACAGTTTCTGTCTTTTGTCCCTCTGTCTTCCCGTAGGAGCCCCGTGTGCGTGGTCCATATCAGCCACCCTGAGTTGTTGACTTGAGTTGAGCAGCATCACGCCAAACCACCGCTGTCTGTCCAAGCAGGGGGCGCTCTGTGTCCATCTGTCTGTTTCCATCTGTCCCTTCGGAGGGAGGGAGTGGGCGGGTTGGGCCAGAGGTGGGGTCCTTGGGGTTCAAAGGTCAAAGTGCCAGCATTTTCTACACAGACATCCAGCATTGTTCTGTTGCAGGTCGTCTCCTCTTCTCACCTCTCATCTTGGGTAGCTGGAGGTCTCGCTCTCTCCCCCAGCCCCCCGGCCCCTTCCCTTTCGACTCGCCGACCTCGCCCCCCTCCGATCGGCGACCCGGCCCGCTTCAAGCCCACCTGCAGCTCTGACCCAAACCTCCGTTCTTCCTTCACCTCCCCCCAGCGTCCCCCTCCTGCCCCCGGCAACTGTAACGGCATACATTCATTACGTGCCTGACTGGCCAGTGCATTTACACAGCGACACAATCAAACACACACACACACACACACTGCTGCCACAAACCCAAAGTATTCCCATTCGGAGCGAGTTTACGTGCGTATGAGCGAGGCGAGGGCAACGGGGAGCGTCGGGGCTGAAACCTTAGCAACCGAAGGCCCCTTTCAGGTGTTTTAGGCCGGGCTCTGAACGGGCACCAAAAACAGCTCCATCCAGCAGGCGGAGCGCTTTGACATCGCACAGGACAAACCAGCTCTGTTCTTCTTTGTTTTCAGGCATTCGTTTTTTTTTTTTTATTATTATTATTATTATTATTTTAAGACTCATTTTACAGTTAATGTAGGCATTATGGTCAATATGGTTACTCTCATGTTTTTCTGTAAAAGATGTTTATTATATGAATTATTATTATTATTATTAAAGGAGAATAGTTATGTGTTGCGAGGAGGACAACAATGTTCTTTGACTTAATTCTGCACTTTCGGTTCATACTGTCCCTCTGGGCTTCCTGTCCTCTCCTTCATGCTTCACCTGCTTTTTTCCCCCCTCCCCCCTCTCCTCTTCCCCCTCCACCTCTACGTTCTCATCTTCCTCTCCTACCACGTCAGTGACCGTGTATTGCATTGTGGGTAGTTTTACCAGACATTTCCTCCTTTCCTTGTACAGTGATGCCATGTATAGAACGCTATTACAGTTTCTGTATCAAATCATATTTTTTCTTCCATTTTTTTTTTTTTTTGATGTTGTTGGGGAAGCTTTTTTTTTTTATTTTTATTGGTATTGTTTATTTTTTGTATTTTTGGAGTCTTTTAATATGTTTTCCTTTCTGTTTTTATTTTTTTATTTTATTTTCTTTGCTTTATGAATTCTTGAGATTTCTAGCCAAAAGAGGACAGAGAAGAGGGCTCCGCTCTTTCTGTCGTAAAAAACGATTGTTATTATTTTAATATTATTATATTGAGACACTTGAATAAGAGAAGAGCAATTATTTTGTGTTGCTTTTTAAGGTATCATTTCAATCAATGTTGTTGTGACTGTCATTCTAGTTGATGTTGGGCCTGTTTTCTGTTACCGGGGTCGTCGTGGCGGGCTATACAGGGTCAGGCTTGGGGCTTTGTCTGGGTTGGTTTGGGTGCTACAGAGACACTTGGGAAAAATAAAATAAAAAAAAAAGACAAATAAACAAGGGAATAACTTGTAAAATAGCTGACATATCATCCTAAACATCCCAAGCCTGGAGACAGATAAACCCACTTCTCCCCACCGCCCCTTCCTGCTGTGATCCTCCCACCATCCTCGACTACATTGACTTCTGACAAGATGGCGCCTTATGGACTCGGCCCTTCTTTCTGAGCTAACTTTGCTACAACCACGGAGGAAAACTACAGCTTCAGTTACCCGTCTGTATTTTTATTTTTTTTTTTCTCCTTTTATTCATGTTACTTGGTTCCTGCACCGGTTTGTTCAACCAGAAGCGAGGGCGGGAGGTGAGAGCTGCGTCTCGTGAACCATTAAAGGTTCCTGTCGTTGGAGGACGCCAGCGAACTGCGAAAGGGAATCGTTTCAGGAGTCATCTGAAGTCTTCTACAGTAAATCCAAGATTGTATTCAGACACGACTCTGAAGTTCGGTCAGATTCAGGCTGCAGCACATTGGGGACCATCATCAATGAATGAAACCTTCGCTGTTATCCTTTATTTTTTTGTGTGTGTGTCTGAGCTCACTCTGTCCTCCCAATATATTGAACATAGAAACAAAGTTTGACCATCAAAGAGACTGCTTTAGAGAAAACAAATCTCCACTCATGTTTGTACAGGTCAGATATCCTAGTAGCTGGCTGCACGGTCGACATACTGTATGCTATAAACGCCTGAGAGAGCTGCTTCTGTCCAATCGGCTTGTTTTTAACCAAAGCTCGCCCAAACAGACCCATTGTGATTGGTTTGTCCTCTAAAACCAAGGGAGGGCTCTCATCTCATAGGAGCTCTGCCATTACAGATTCAGTGTTCACTTCAGCTCTCGTTTCTCTTTCACGTCTGTCCTCGTTTTTTTTTTCTTCTTCTTCCTCTGTTTACACCAAGCCAAAGGAGGTCTGGAAGACAAAAGGAGCGTTTTATCTGAATACTGGAGCACAGTTCTGAAAGCATGGCAGCAAAAGAATCCAACCAGGAACTTTATATCTTCTGTAATGTTGTGACTGGCCTGTGTTGTGTGCGTGTGTGTGTGCGTGCGTGTGTGTGTGTGTGTGGAGGTGGGAGCAGATGCATGGCAGAAGGGACCACTTATGGGAATTTAAAAGACCGCAGAGAGTTATGAAGCAAGCTGCCTCGCATAGACACATTCAGCCTGATCAGACTGACCATTGTTCTCTCCACCTCTTCTTTTTTTTTTTTTTTTTTAACCCTGTCGACGCCGACTGTCGTCCTTTCTCTCCATCCCTGCAAGCCGACTCTCTCTGCTCCTCCCCTTTTCCTTAGATTCATTTGATTTTCTATCGGTTCATTTTATGATTTTTTTTTTTTTCCTGTTGTCTTTGTTTCTGTTCATTTCTGTTGGGTACAAAAATACTAAAGTGCAACAACAATGGTTCAAAAGAATATCAACCAAACTGAGATGAATAAATAAATATATATAAATAAATAATTTAAAAGTGTTGATGTGTGTGGGGTATTTTTTTTATCTAGCTTGCAGTCTCATCGTTTGCAGCTTATAAAAACGTAGTGTCTAGCCTGTCAGTCCCCAAGTGTCCAATATTATTTTAATTGCATTGAGACCACATGTATCCAAGCAACCAAACAGATTAATTTTTATAAATAACTAAAACAGACAAGCAGGCAGGATTTCCCATGGCTTTCCTTCAACAATAGTTCTCCTACTAAATGGCCTTGCACCAAAATACAGTAAGGATCTGTTGTATCAACCTTCCAGATTGCTCAGGTTTTGGTCTGTTCTGCATCCCCAGAACCAAACATGGAAAGGCAGTATTCAGTTTTTATGCTCCACTAATCTGGAACAAACTTCCATAAAACTGCAAAACAGCCGAAACACTGAGTTCCTTTAAATCAAGGCGAAAAACCCACCTGCTTAGAGTTGCTTTTGATTCTTAATAAATGGAACATTGATCTATATATTGTTCTTGATGGTTAAATTTCGCTCTCATTTCACCAGAGCATTGTCTTTCACATGTTTTTTGTCTCCCAACATGGTTTATGGCCAATTTTAAATGAGGTTTCTTACAGCTTTTCTTTTACCACTCTTTCATGTAACCCAGATTTGCGACTCACACTTGTTCTGTTGGCAGATTCTTTCATCCGAACTGTGGATTTTTGCATCTCCTCCAGAGTTAACAAGGTCCTCTTACCTCCTTTTGTCATTCCAGATGGTCGTCACGTTTTGGTAAGTTTGCAGCTCTTCTATAGTCGTTCCATTCAAATGATGGACTGAACTAAAGCTTGGGGTTTTCACCTAGCTCTTCTTAGAACTTCTCCACAACTTTCTCCCTGACCTGCTGGGTTTCTTGGTCTTTTTGGTGCTTTTCTCTCTCTCTCTCTCTCTCTCTCTCTCTCTCTCTCTCTACTGGTCTCTGACATTCTTTGCAAAACATCTGAATTTTAACAGATTATATTAAGCACAAGTGGAGTCTCTTTCTCTGCAACTTCTGGAGGCATTTTAGCTTGGATGTGCAATTAAGCACCACACTTTTCAGCTCTGTCACATGAAATCACAATAAACTTTTGCACCTTGAGAAAAGGTGCAAAGCTTAATGTGCAGCTCTGTCACATGAAATCACATTAAACTTTCATTTGCAGTTTGAGAAAATGTGAAAAACTAGTCTCCATTGAATACTTTTGAATGGTTTCTCCTATAAGCCACAGCTTTTTGCTTGTGCAGCGTTGCTATACATGCTGCTGCTCTGGTCTGTGCAGCTGCACTGCAGAGGCTTTTCAGTCTGAATTAGCTGAGCTCAGACCAGGTGAATCATGTTCTGTACAAGTGCCCATCATGGCGTTACCACAATATCCAGCTGGTGTACGTTTGGTGTGATGAGTTATGAGATTTATGGGAAACCTTCTGAGCTGACAGCTTAGTCTCCACACCAAATATTTTTTTGACAGTTTCAAACTGATCCTGTGCATGAAGCTTATTTCTCTCACCTCCCTATCCTCCTCCACACCAGCTGTTGTCCCTCTCTCACATCTTCCCATCCTTCCTCTCTCTGTATATCCCTTGCTCGTTTTTCCTTCCGTCTGCTTCCTGTTTCCCAGTTCCCTCTCTCCTCTCCACCTCAGAGTGGCGACAGCACAACTGCCTGCATCAGCCAGTGAAAGCTGCTGCTGGAGGTTGCCGTATCTTGCAGAGAGCCAAGTGTGTGTGTGTGTGTGTGTGTATGTGTGTGTAATAGTATGAGCGTACGCAGATGGGAGAGCAAGTGAGTCAGGAAGGGCTGCTTCTCATCCCTCTGCTGTCAGCACCATATTTCCCTCTGTCTCCTCTCCTTCTTCTCTGACATGGAGCTCCGGTGGACTGAATCCAGACGGGATCTGCACCAACGGATGAGGTAGTAACGTCTGTTTCTTGCACAAGGCGGGTTTTGTGTGTGTGTGTGCATCCTGACTGTTTGTGTCTCAGTGTGCTTGTGTGTGCAGGGCTGAACTGATGTTTGTATCCCTCCTCTACCCCCGACTGTCAGCTGAAAGCATTAAGCGTCCTTACCCACAGCGCAGAGCTGTCAGCTCCTGTCTTGCACTCGTATTAGTGGATTATTCCTGGTGATCACTGTATTGATTATGCAGATTATGTGTGCATCTTTAACAGCTCAGTTTCTGCTATTACTCCTACGGATCACATGACCCCCAAACAGCAAGCCAGCTCTGGAGACCGCTAGCTCTGCCCCCCTTTTACTGTAGATATGTGTGTGTTATTGATCCAAGCTGGCATGGGGATGTTTGGTTTCGCAGTGATGGAGGAGTACCCTGCAGATCAAAGCTACAAAGGCAGTGAATTATTGAACAGAGCCATGTCACTATGAGGACAGACCTGTGTTGGCTTTGCTGTGATCTTATTGTTGGAAGGTGTGTTTGTTCTTTGAGGCATGTTTCCTATCAGGACCTATTTGCCTGTTAGAGATTTAGCCAGTTCTATACCCAAACCCTCATCTTAATGTGTAGCACACTGCAAAGATATTAATAACTCTTAAACTTTACCACATTTTGTCATGTTACAGTTATGGCTGAAGTGATTAATCGGGTTAATCGTGGTGAATCGATCATTGAAATAATCGCCAACTAATTTAGTAATCAATTAATTGTTAACTGGATTATATAGACTCTTAATAAAGGCTATGTAGTGAAATAACAACACACTCAGAGTTGAAATGAAGCCAAAATGTACAAAGAATAAACATATTTTGCACTTACCGTAATATAAAAAACTGCCTTTCCTATATGTTCTATCCAAAACTTCTCAACTAACATAATTTTAGCTTCACCTGGTTCAAATTCTGTAAAGAAAAAAAAAAAAGAATCTAAGCACCTTTTGCTATCCAGTTATTAATGGGTTGATCTTAAACAAAATCATCAGATCAGCCCTACACCACATTGATGTAATTCAAGTCAAGCAGTACATCAAGTGTAAGTCAAGCAGAATGGGCTGAGCTTTTCTCATGTTGATGCTAGAAATATTTTCTTTTTAGCTGCAGATGCATCCTTTGC